CCAACTAGCGGCATGTGCAAGATAAGTAGCAGCACTGACATCACAATGACATCACTGGCCTATCACTGCCATCAATTTGCTTTGTCACCGAGAAGCTCTCTGAAACCAAAGGCCCTATAAAAACTCTTCCTGTAATAAACCATGTTACACTGCTTTTTTCTCCCCTTTTTGCATAGAAATCTGTTATAGATGAGCTCCAAGTTTTAAGAAAAAAGTCTCTTTCACATTAAAAGCTACACAGTTGCCTCTTTTGAGGCTACTTCTTTATTACTGCTGTGCTCAGGGTTTCTAGGTAAAAGGGACAGGGTGAACCCTGTGTATTTCTTATAACTCCAAAGAGAAAAAAGTACTTGAAGAGCTAAACTTCGTGCATTTAAGAAAACTCCTGAAGAGCTGGGGATTTAGCTCAGTGCGATCCTTGCAAGCATGCAGTTGTAAGTTCGATCCCTGGTACCAAAAAAGAAAACTCCTCATAATTAGCACAGAAATGCTGGGTTTCACACTCAGTTCTACATTTACCAAGCGAGAAATATTTAGTCACTTTTGTTCGCTTTTATCTTCATTTGCTATGGCATCATAAGAAGCAGCTACTCATAAAGTGACAAAAAACGTGCTGTCTTCACTGGAAGTAAATACTACAATTTTTAAGTCACTGTGCCAGTATAATAGGAGTTACATCTTAGTTTTTCAGAATTATCAAATTGTAAATTTGCAGATATGTGACTTTCCCTGTCTCAGAAAATAGAAATTTATGATTCAATCTAACACATTCTTTTATTTGCTAAAGTCCCTTGAAGAGTTTTATGATTTTTAAATTCACAAATTATAATTATTTATAAAATTTTTAAATGTCAAACTTTATTTGGATAATTTAATGATTCAGAATGTGAGAACTGGATCACTATAGAAAATTTAACAACAGTAAGGTTGGGGACAAAGCTAGCAAATGTTCAACAGTATAACAGACCATAGTCTGGGAAAAAAATTATTTGCATTGCTACTGAGCACAAATAAGGGCCAGGTCAGAGACCACCTGCTTTTCAGAGGGTTGTACAAAGCCTGTTGCCTCAGATGGTCTGAATTCAACCTGAAGGACATGTCCCATATTTCCACTTTTTCAATTAAGCATCCTACATAGTGCCAGGAATTTTACATTCTGGTCCTTAGCGAGTGACATGTCTGGAGGGACGTGGCACTCCTACACAGGGGCCTGGGATTTCAGTGAAGATACCTGGAGCCAGAAAGCCTGCAGCTCAAGCTAAATATCAACCGCCACTGGGAACTCTGTTCCACCCAGCTGTGCCTATGGATTTAGGGCCAGGAGTACTCTGAGTACATTTTGTTTAAATTTCTGAACATTCCATTTTGTTTTTGTGTTAATGTTTCTTTAAATTGGCTTGTAGGTGCTTAATAAAATACAGTATTAATATTTAAAAGATAAAGGAATTAGTCCTCAGGGAAAAAAAATCAGAGGGGAGTTGGTGGCTTAGTTGTTTACTGCTATTCATAAAGTTTTAAAATATTCCCTAGACTACTTAAACTTAATCACCATATGGAAGAAACAGCACTTTCTCAGAGGAACGCTGCTTTACTTTCATTCAGTGCATGTTTAGTGGACATTTCTCACATGCCAGGGACTGTACTAGGCTTTGAGGGTCTTCTCTGAACAGAACTTAAACCAGAAGACGCCCGGCAAGTGCACTGCCTTTCTGAGAGGCCAGTGGAACAAACTCACAGGGTCGCCTGAACCGGCAGGAAGCCTTCCTGGAAGAGGCGCTGCCTTGGGATGAACCTGCAATCAGAGCACACAGCCGGGGGCGTGTTGGGTCAGGCCCGAGGGAGATCCTGGCCTGGGCAAGGAGGAAAGCTGTGGCCCGCTGCAGGAACCGAAAGAAAGAGCTGCTTAACGGAGAAGGGAGAGGTCAGAGGCCAGTAAAAGGGCAAAGCCAGCATCCAACAAGCATTTGGGCCACACGAAGGATTTCAGACGTTAGCAAACGCCAGGCTTTCGCTCAAGGGTCTGCGCAGAGGCAGACAGGATGCTACCTGCTACCGAGTGGACGCTGGTGGGCCCACCTGTCCCGGAGGGCTGCAGGGTTCCAGGGTGGAGCCCCTTGAATGGGTCCAGTGTCTTTAGAAACCAGGCCCACAGCACTCCTTCGCTTCCCTCGCCCCTGATCAAACAAGAAGCCCAGTCTGTGCACAGAACGGAGCACGGCCCGCTGCTGGCCCGCTCTGGCTGTCTCCCTGCACATCCCAGCCTCCAGGGTGGAAAATAAATGTGCGCGGGGGAAGCCACCCAGCCGCACTTTGTTCTAGCAGCTCACGTGGATGAGGACACAGGTTTGGATGTAAACTTTAGGGACGCTGGTCTCAACCGCACACCTGTGTGCTGTGGGAGGAGAAGCAGTGGAAACAGAGACTTGGCGGTGAGCAGCAGAGTCTCGGGAGGGTGGCAGGAGATCAGGGAAGGAGCCTCAGGGCTGGGGGTTGGGAGGGCCACGCAAGGCTTTGGGCAGAGAGGGGAACCAAGACTAAGGGACCCACCTGGCTCCTGGCCTGAAGCCACAGGGGGCAAGCAGGCCACCAGTGAAGTGGGGAAAGCCAGGCAGAGAAGGGGAGGGAAACGGAGCTGAGGAGACAGGTGGGATGGGAGGCATCACAGTCCTCAAAGCCGCGGGAGGGGAGGGCGTCATCCAGGATCAGTGAAGGTTAGGACTAGGGTACGGAATGGAGGCAGCAACACAGGGTGGGACAGAAGCACCGTGTCTGGGGTCGGCAAGATGAGCAAGCCCGCTGGCCTTGAGAGAGGGAGAGGGAGAGAGAGGAGAAGGAAAACAGAAGTATGAAATGTCAGACGGAAAGAAATAAAATATATATATATGGTATAAAGGTATCACATTAATTCACACAAGCAACAGCATGTTATTAAAAGTAATTACAGTTTAGCAAATAAAGGATCAACTTTTTTAAAAAGTATTACGTCTCTAGACCAGTAATGTAACAGAACACTAAGGTGTGGTACATAACAGCAGCAGACACCAGAAAGCACTTGGGAATAAACTGAGCACAACAGAGCATGGAGGGGAAAACACAAACTGTTAGAAGAAAGATAGATCTGAATGAATGAGGTATCCAGGGTTTGTGATAGGTCACATTAACATTATAAAGGCTCCGGCTCTCTCTAAAATCTATACCTGAAATACAACCTCATCATTGGCTTTTATTTTATCATTATTATTGTTACTTAGAAACGCAAGCTTTACTCTAAACACACATGAATGGTTCACAAATAGCTAGATTAACATTTCCAAAAAGGACAAAAAGCTGAACTTGTCTCATGGCACAGCAAACAAGGACGATACCGGCATCCAGAAGCAGCAGAATGGAGAACTGGGTGTGCTGGCACGTGCCTGCAATCCTGGCTACTCAGGAGACTGAGGCAGGAGGACTGCACGCTCAAGGCCAGACTGGGCCAAGTTAGGGAGAAGTGTCTTGAAATAAAATTCTGAAAGGGTTGACATAATATTAGGCCAATGCTTGCTTGTGGGTGAGGAGCTGGGTAAATCTGTCCATCCCCGCCCATCCCTGGTACCCAAACAAATACACAAAAGAATGGTGAGAACAGACTTCTGAGACAGCTCCAAGTACATATGAGAACCTATTTTAAAATTAAGGTTTCTCATAAATTAAGAAAGGAAAAACCGTTGGTAGTTTTCACACACAGAGAAAAAATTTAAAATGGATCCCTGACTTGACACTACAAGAAATAGATTCTAGATGGATTAAGAACCTAAAACTAGAAAGTTCATAGAAGGCAGTATAAAAAAATAACTTTATGACTTATGTAAGAAAATAAGTTCAAAGTACAAAATTTACATGTATACTATATAAAACAAAAAATTACAAAAACACTTATTTGTCAAAGAATCAATTTGTAACTATTCCTCAAGATTATTCACTTGGACATTTAGGATTCATGATGTTGGGAAAAATTAAACAGGTGGCTGTAATTTTACTTTAAAATAGTATGAATTTGTTTGTTTGTTTGTTTGGTACTGGGGATTGAACTCATGACCTTGCGCTTACCAGGTAGGTGCTTGTGCCACTGAGCTAAATCCCCGGCAAAATAGTATAAATTTTTACTTCATAATTATCACTACTTTATTTCTTCATTCTACTAGAGTCCATATAAACTTCCAAAATACAGAACAGTAACGCTTATTAACCACCAACAAATTTATCATCTATAATCTTGCTTCCTATTTGCAATACTTGCAAACTAAAATAATTGATATTATTTTCCTTAATATTAGAGCTATGAATCCTAAGCAAATGGACCCAGAAGAACAGAAGTAAATGATTTTGAAAGTGCTAGTATAGTTGTAAGCACAACTGAATGGAGTTAAAATGATACACAACTCAAAATTTAATTGAAATCTTAGGAAACCTTAAAAAAACCTTAGGTTACATCACAGTTATTTTATTTTGCTGCCCTCAGCTTTCATAAGACCTAGAATGAATTCCTCAGACTCATGCTATCAAAAATAAAAAACCCAGTGTTTGTTTTTAAACAAGTGGTCTTAAATTTAGGCTTAAGTGTAAATAGCTGGGGAAATGCCCGCATTCAAGGAGTCATGGGCTGCATACTTAAATCCTCAGAGAACAGGAGATTAGAAAAATGTTAGGTACATTTATGACCCCCAAATAGGCTATTTGCTTAATTTAAAAATCCATTTATATTTCCACTTTTGCTTAATTTAAAAATCCATTTATTTTTCCATTTCCTTTCATTAGAGCCAGTAAAACCTTGAGTAGTTAATATCATACAAACTACTTAATTTGCTTAACAATTAAAATACCTTTTCTCCAAGCCTTTTCAAAGGGCCTCCCCCCAAACACTACCTCATGTGTATTTTATAAAACTACGAAACCACCACCAACGGGTATGACGTACTAATCTACAGCTACTGTAAACGTATTAGAGTAATAAAATATACCTTGAACAACAACCTGGCTGCCTGGGACAAAGAACTGCTGGGTGCCATCAGCTGCCTGTGCTGCGTACTGTACAATCGCGGCACCTGGAGGAGCTGCTCCTGAATTTGTCATTGTTAATGCCTGCAGTCCCTGAACACCTTCAGATCCCGGGTTAGAAATCTGGATTGCTCCACCTTGGGCGATAGCAACTTAACAGAAAAAGAAAAGAAAGATTAGAGAACTTCTGGTTTCATTTCCAATAACCCTATATGGGGAGAGCATATGGCGGCTATGTGTTACCATTGCTTCTCGTGCTTAAGTTACTTATCCTTTAACACTGAACTGATAAAGAACATCAGCTTTGTGGAACAAGAGTTTTATAGAGCTTACATCACTTGAGTTTATGTTATATCCAGAACTTTTTGATATTCCTAACGTCTGTGGCATTTTCCTCTTCCCCAGAAACCACCCAACTAAATTAAGCGAAAGAAAAGAGGAGGAGACAGAGTCTAGATTCTTGGCCTTCTCCATTCTCTTAGATGTTTTTAGTTATAAACAATATTCCTCAGAAATGGTCAGTAAAATTTCCACTGAGCAATGCAATTAGGAGTTTGTACCTTTTTTTGGCCAATTACTTTTCTGATTTATCAGTAAAAGAAAGTGGCTTTCAACATATAGCATACAGTATACCATATATTTTGGTTTTAAAGCTCACACCTACAAAACTGTAATCTTCATCTAGGTTAAGATAATCCCAAAACTTAACATGTTAAGTTGGAGAGGATCTAACAAGATAACACTACTGATGGAATTAACTACAGGAGTAGCAATAAACTTCCTTTAGCACTGCAATTAGCTGGTCATGTTTAAAGTTCACGTATTAACTTCAACTTTCAAAGGAATGATTAAAATTTTGTTTAAAGTTTCACTAATAGACAGCTACTTTTAAAATACTCCAGAGGTCTATATACTTAAGCATAAAGATAACAACAGCACACTTTAGTTTGAGCAGTGGAAATCAATCAGAACCAAGGATTATTTCTTTCTTTTAATATCAAGTATAAACTAGCTAGCTGGACTTCACAATGAAGATTTTTAAAAACACACCATAAGAATAACACAATACATACAAATCATGGCAAATATACTATATAACAGTGATTAAAATATACTCTGAATTATGCTCAAATCACTTTTAAATGATTTTTAAAGTTTTCATTTTTTAGGGTTAACATATTAATTAAAAATTTTTGAGACAAGATCTCACAATGTATTTCAGGCTGGCCTTGAACTGACTATAGAGCCCAGGTTGGTCTTGAATTCACGGTGATCTTCCTGCCTCAGCCTCCCAAATCCTGGGATTACAGATATGTGCCACTATGCCAGGGAGGGTTAACATTTTTTAAAAGTTTTCAGCACAGACACACGTGCTGTGTTTTAGTTCACTGACAGCGCAGTTGCCAGAAACTGAGCAATGAGCTGCACTTCAGCGGTGCCCAATTGAGAAACTGATGGGGCATCACTGTGGTGGGCGTATCCTGTGATTCACAGTCTGTACACACATCTTCAATGTCCAAAGATTTCAAGGGTCTCAGCACTCCGCCCTCACAGTGGAAGACTTAAGGGAGAGATCTTACTTATTAGGGAAGTCCAAAAAGATAAGAGATACTTGCTTTCTTGGATTTTCGTGGCTGGATGTAATGAATTTTGTTTGTTCATATATTTTAATTTTAATGTGTTTGTTTAGCAGATAATGTGTTTGTAGGAGGTCATAGAAACAATGTTTTAGAAACATATCTAAAGCACAAAAAGCCTAGCACAGAGTATGTGCTCAATAAAAAAAATAAATGAGCGGTTTAATCTCCTTGTATCATAAACTCATGGGATGTAGCTGTAAGAAGGGCCTGGAAAAAAAATAGCCAGGATCACACTGTAGGGGAGTAAGTTAAACAGCTTACAAAATCCCCAACTTCGTATGTGGCAACACAGATAAATTTCCTTCAGTGCAGACCCCTAGTTCTCACCCGGAAGTCCACATTTACTCTGCTCACTGCCCCTCAGCGCACACAGGGAGGTCCAGTGCTGAGCCGGGCTGGGAGCCTGCACCCAGACCAGAAGGAATAGCAGCAGTGGGCCTGGCCGGAGGGGGACACCGATGGATGTGAATGCAGCCCCAACAGCAGCCTCCGTTTCTGTCCCCTTCACCTGCTACCTTCATCTGCCTCCACACGAACCCCAAATTGGGCAAATTAAAGTATTCCCATTTCAAAGACTAAAACCTGAGATGCAACAAGAAAGCACTGCATCAATGAATTTAATGTTTTTAAAAAAGCATTGTGATCAATGGATTACCAAACAGAAACAGGATTTCTGCCCACACCGTCTGCAGCTGCAATGTCCACTCAACCCATGTGTTCCCACTGTCTCGAATGCTCGGCCAGTACTTTAGGGAAATTAACCTACGGGGTCCACGTCCTCCTTACCTTACCTGCTTCTGTGAGAATTCCTAAGCCACAAAAGCCAAAGAATGTCAAGAGTCTTTGGGGTCACACCCAGAACATTGAGAGGTGTTAGCACTACTCAGCAATAACTACAGTATGTCCCTTGTCATGACACACTCAGAAAATAATACAGGGACACCCCTCAGGGTAAACTGACGCAGCTGCTCAAGGCCAAGACTGCCCAGCCCCTCCAGGGGCTGAGAGGTGTGAAGGTCTGGGACCTGGTGCCATATTGCAAACCAGCTGCCAGAGCAAAGTATAACGATAAAGCACATTATCAGAGCATCACAGTGAACACTTCAAGTCTAACTCTGCAGGAGGGGGTCACGGGGTTGTTACCCTAACACCAACTTCAAACAGGTTCATTCAGCATCCCCAAGAGGCCATGGATTCATTATACCCCAGTTTTCATGGGTAGCATCACAGATGCTTCCCAAAAATCAGCAAAGGAAAATTAGTTTCATAGTTTAATACTGCAAATCTGTCACCACAAGAATATTCTAACCTCCTCCCACAAAAAGAAAGGCTACATAAGATCTTCCCACAGATGAAAGAAGAGTATAACTTGTCTTAACAGCCAGGTTTTAAAGACTTGAGACATTTCTAGGTATTGCTACTTTTTAAACGAAAAACAGGATACACCTAAATCTTGACACCTTAAACACAGAACTTAATAGCACATATATTTCAGTGCCAATGTAGCTTTTTCCTCTGTCCACTCTCCTCCCCTTTCACACTGCTTTCCAGCTCTCACTTGTTAACATTTTTATGTATCAAACATTCTTCACTTTGGAAAAAAACTAGTGCTTTAATTAGAGCAAAAAGCACAGAATTAAAAGGCCATTAAAATGCACAAGACTAAAAGTGAATGTATCTGTTTATTTAGAGTTTTCAGTGCATAGAATTTCAAATAAGATCTATCCAGTTGCAATAGTTTTAAAAATTAAATAATTTTTCATTCTATTTTAGAAAAAAGTACAGTACATATTAACACAGAAGGTAGCAAAAACATTATTTGACTTAAAACATAATTTAGAAAACATGTACCTGTTTTAGATTAGTAATATATTGGTAACAAAAGCAACAAGAGTGGGAGACAAATATGTTTGCATGCAGCATAAAGACAACAGAAAACTTTTTAACTTTTACTTGCAATGAATCTAAACATATAAACAGAAAAATATTTTATTTTTACTCCCAAATTTTCTTCTATATTCAGCAATAAAAATTTTTACTTTTCAAAAGTATATCATAGATATCAGTTCAGATTTGTCACTGCTTTGGTGTGTACTTTTCACTCTGTGATACACAGTTTAGGTAACAAAGGCCCATTTTAAAATGGAACAATGTATCACTAACACCCACATTGCTTCCTATAATCGGAGAAGGCTTAAGCTAGTGCTGTATGTAACAAACTGCCGCATACATACTGTATTGCCCCGTGCTAGTCTGATATATGCTAGTTGGTACTGCCATGGTGGTGATGTTAGAGGGCCTTCCTCCTTCCTCTGACTTCTCTTCTTCAATTTTGGGAACACCAGGCACATCAGAGGAAAGTTCATTCAGTATTCTAAAACATAATTTAACAATACAAGTCATTAAGATATGTGAAGGGGCTGAAGACAGAAAGAAAACACATGAACACACATATTAAACACATACTAAAAACACATGCACAGTTGCTTTGATCTTAATTATTCTACCTTTCTGGGGAAAAAAATTCAGTAAGAAAAGTCATTAACTCACCTGTAAGAGGGTCTTCGTGAAAGGATTTCTCTATGTTTATGAGAATCAATTACACCTTCTGAATCTGCAGACTCATCTGTCTCTGTAATTGTTGCTACCTACAACACAAAAGTTTCTGAAAGGCATCATAAAACACATGATTTCCTTCCTCACCAAAAACCTGGTGGCTGAGGTTGTGGTGTCCAGCTTGGAGCCAGGGGCTGAGGCACAGCCCAGCCATGGGTCACAGTGAACCTGCGCTATGGAAGCAGCTCACTACCTGGCCTTGCAAAGGAAACACTCATTCTTTTTTTTTTTTTTTTTTTTTTTTTTTTTTTTTGTCTTTTTCATTTTTATCGGTACCGGGGATCAAACTCACGACTGCCTGCTTGCAAGGCAGGTGCTTATGCCGCTGAGCTAAATCTCCAGCCCCTGGAAACACTCATTCTAACATTTAAGTTGTCAAAAAAAAGTGTGGTTATGCTATAGATAATAAATACTGCAGAAATGCAATGGAAAGAGTGGTTCCAGCAGTGTGAACAAGCCAGGGACAGAGGCAGGAAAATGACCCGATTTCAATGCCCTCTTAGGGCATCGAGACTGGCTTGAGCAGGGTCTCAGAATCCGGCATCGGACAGGACCACCAAGCAATGGGAACTTGTGCAAACAAGTCCACAAACCAGGTTGGTTAAAATTAGGATTTCCATTACACAGAACAGGTTAGGCTTGATGGTGGCGGGTGCTGAAAATAAGAAATTTCAGAGATATATCAGAGTTTTCAGCATGATTTCATTTTTCAAGTCAAGTAGGAATACAGGAACTTATTAAGGAAAGTCAGAAAACAAAAATAATAAATACGTAATGCATGCTGTCAGCGTACACAGCTACTTAATTCTGAGGCCCTTAGGGTAGCTGACTTTATAAACCTTATTTTACTTAATATTAAAATTATATGAGAACTTGATTGAGGGGACAATGAATAATTTACTATAATATCAAGAATCCAAGCAAAAAGGCTGAGGCAGGAGTATTCGCAAGTTTGAGTTTAATCTGGGCAACTTAGCAACTTAGCAAGACCCCTGTCTCAAAAAAAATGAAAGAGGTAAGGAGGTAGCTTAGCTGAAAGCCTTGGGTTCAATCTCCAATCACATGCATGCATGCATACATACAAGAATATGTAGTTCCCAAAGAACAAAGATGTGTGTACACAGCCACCTATATATACGACTATACACACACACACACCCCACTGGTCATGAACACCCACACCAAAGCACACACATTCAATGAAAAGAACTTACTGGCTGGGGATTTAGCTCAGCGGCATAAGCTCCGGCCTGGCAAGCAGGCAGTCGTGAGTTCGATCCCCGGTACCGATAAAAAGGAAAAAGACAAAAAAAAAAAAAAAATGACCATGAAAAGAACTTACTGAAAAAAATGTTGCAGGGCCAGGGATTTAGCTCAGTGGCACAAGCGCCTGCCTGGCAAGCGTGAGGCCATGAGTTCAATCCCTGGTACCAAAAAAAAAAAAAAAGGTTCTTGCATTAAACAATGCGTCTCATTACTAAATACCACTTACACGGGGCCATCACACAGCATCACATGATCACCACACTTACTCACGTGAAGTAGCCTATCGTGTTACCCATCTTAGAAAAGTGGAAACTAAAGTTTATGCACAGAGGGGTAAGTGGCCGGCCCACTGTCCAACAAGTAGAAATTCTACAAGATGCTCCTAGTAGAGTATTTATCCCTACAAAGACAAGTCATGCACCTGACAAAATTTAAAACAGGTCCATGGAATATTTGACAATACTTTCTTCCAGTTTCAGCCAGGATGCAACCAAGTAGAAATAGCTGCATCCCAAGAAAAGCCCTAATACAAAGAAGGGCATAAAAACACAGTTGTTTCAGGGGCTGGGGATTTAGCTCAGAAGCATAAGCACCTGCCTTGCAAGCAGGCGGTTGTGAGTTCAATCCCTGGTACCGACTATCGATTCATCACCAGGGCCAGAAAGAGTTAAAACACTCTTTGAATAAGGCTCACCATCGGAAAGACAGTGATGAGAATTATTTCCTACACTTCTGAGCAACCAAGATGCCTATGCTGAAGGTAACCAAGGCTTTAAAGTGTATGAATTACTTCAGATGTCGTGTTGCAGCACTCAATATCATTTTTTGATAAATTGTACTCCAATGTGAAGGTAAAAGGTAAGAAGACATGTTTCTCTATTTTCCTCAGGTTTTTTGTCATCTGTTAGGTTCAAATAATTTCAACATTTAAAGTATAATAAAGGTCAGGGATATAGCCCAGCAGCACAAGTGCCTGCCTGGCAAGTGCAAGGTCATGAGTTTGATCCCTGGTACTAAAAAAAAAAAAAAACACAAAAAACAAAAACAAAAAAAGTATAGTAACAAACTGACCTTAAAAGGGAACCAAAATAAGTTCAGGAAACAGGAAAAATTTGCCTTTAGAAACGTAACTTAACAAATTACATCTATTGATCAAAAATGTTTTTTTGCCTTCAACAAATATTAAGAATTGATGACAAACCTTGATACAATAAATAATAACATACATCTCTGGCTCACAACCACAATACTACTCACAGCAACACAAGCCAAGGTTTAATCCAGGAGGAATATATGACACATAAAAACAACACCCACATGAGGATAACAGCATGGTGCCTTTAGGCTGGGGTGTGGCTCATAGTAGAGCTCATGCTTGGCCTAATGAGGTTCTGGGTTCAATTCCAACACCAAAATAAATGAGGACATGCATACATATTTCCTAAGGGTTACAGACACTGCATTTAAAGAAAATTTCAATCAATCTCCTGAGTATTCATGAACACACACATCAGAACTGTAGCCTTTGTATTGTGTTAATGGATATCGCCTCCTCAAAACTCTTTACATATTCTTAAGCACCATTGAAGGGCTTTGTTAAAAAGTAAATAAACAAGTAAATCAGAGCTTGAACACAGAACCACCTGAAGAAGACGGGAGCCGCTGCTCTGCCAATCACTCCTGCTGTGATCGACAGGCTGACGACACTCCGCCTGCTTTGCCACATCTGTGGACCTAACGGCACAGTACATGCCACACAAAGAAATTCCCCCAATTATCCGTAGAAAACTTGTGTATAAAGTCTACATAAGGGTGCTAAGTGAATTAGTACACGAAAAAATTAACATCATTTGTCAAAGACAAATCACCCAGGAAGGAAGCACACCAGAACAGTGTATCTGTGAGCTGTGACGGGGTGGTGTGGATGATCGATTCCTGCACTCTGTTACAGTATGGCCGTGTACTAGGGTCACAGACAGAGCCTCTCGCGATGCCTGACCCAGCTACAGAAACCTGCAAAAGCAATCCTTGCTGAGGATTAAAGCCGGACCTGTTCTCAATGTTTTGGTCTAGTTTTAAGAAGCAGAGCCCAGGGGCTGGGATTTAGCTCAGCGGCATAAGCGCCTGCCTTGCAAGCAGGCAGTTGTGAGTTCGATCCCCAGTACCAAGGAAAAGGACAAAAAAAAAAAAAAAGTAGAGCCCCCAGCACTTGCAAAGCCAAAGCAAGGAGACTGCTACAAGTTTGAGGCCAGCCTGGGCTATGTAGTGAATTTAAAGACAGGTTGAACTATCTCATCTCAAAAAACAACCAAAAAAAGTACTGTCATAATTGGTCAGCCTCTCTTCATTTTGCTGCTTCTGAGAAAGGACAAACAACCTGGGGTACTTACCATGCAGACGCGGTCCCTGTCCTGGAACTGTTATTCCCGGGTGTGACAGAGAGTAAAGAACCCATGCTCCTCACTGTTGGTGCCCATGCTTGGGTGGATGAGAGTGTTCGGAGCACGGAGTTCTAAAGCAGTTAAACTACCTCACACTACTAACAGTGAAGCCCTTCAGAGGTCAGGGGATAAACTACCTTCTCTAATTTCTTAGGAGAAACTAGAGATAGAATATAAATCAATGAACTATGTTTCATATATGACAATTCTAGTACTATTTCAGATGTGAGCTAATTCTATCTCTATACTCATAAGGACAAACCCCCAAAATACTTATGCCCCTATAACCACAAAGACCCCAGACCAAAGAGATTCTAGGACCTTTTAACACTAGCCCTTAGTGTGTTTGGTCCAGAGAAGGGTCCTGTCTCAAAGTAGGGGTAACCTTCTGGTGCTCCTCCTCTCTCCAAGATGGACAGCTCCCAAGCAGAGAGCCAGTGAAATCACTTAGCTTTGGCCTGGGAGAGTCACCTCACCTCCTAGCTCTTCCTAACTCTCCAGCACTTTCAACCCAGAACCCTGGCCTTAAAACCTGCTAAGCCTGTTTAGTCAACAGTGTCTGTCCTGTAAACCAGGGTAATTTTATTTTTATTTTAAAGAGAATAAAATCAAGCAAAATAAAATAGAATAAAGGCAAAACAAACCAAACCAGTATAGGTGACACAGGACTTCAAAACAATATGAAATCAACAATGATTACTATGCCTCTTCAAAATAGCTGCAGATAGCTTCAGATATGGCAAAAATCAAACAAAACAGAACAGATTAGAATAGAACCAATAAAAACAAAACAATGAATGTAATAAAGGACTACAAAACAAGATAATAGTAAATCCAAAATGGTACCATAATATATCTTGCTATCTTTGAAAGAGCTAGGGGCTGGGGATTTAGCTCAGCGGCATAAGCGCCTGCCTTGCAAGCAGGCAGTCGTGAGTTCGATCCCTGGTACCGATAAAAAGGAAAAAGACAAAAAAAAAAAAAAAAAAAAGAAAGAGCTGCCCATGCCATTGGATGTAACAAAACCAAAAAGAACCAAATAGAATAGAACCCAACCCAACAAAACACTGAAAATGATACAGGACTTCAAAACAAAATAATAGGGAATTAACAACGGCTACCACCTTCAGAAGGAGATTCCCCATAGATGCTACACTGCGTACCATGATCCTCTGAATAGATGATCAGACTACTGGCCCTAGATCTGCAAAGTCAGTGAACACCAGATACCACAAGCATCAAATCGCATTTCACCTCAACAGCTCTGGTTGCAGTCTTGTTTCTCTGGATCAGTTGGTCACTTGGGGAGTGGGGTGAGGAGTGGC